ACAATGGTTAAAAGTTCGGCTGCCAACCAAAAGGTTGATGGTTCGAATCCACCAGCTGCTCCTTGGAAACCCTATGGAGCAGGTCTTCTCTGTCATACAGGGTCGCTATGAGTTGGAATCGACTCAGTGGCAACAGGTTTTGTGGTAGTTCTATTTTTAGTTTTTTAAGGAACTGCCACACTGTTTTCCACAAGGCCCTACCAGTTTACGTTCCCACCAGCGATGGTTAAGGGTTCCAGTTTCCCCACATCCTTGTCAACATTTGTTTTTTTTTTTTGTTTTTTTTTAATCTTAGCCATCCTAACCAAAAAAAAAAAAACAAATAATCCTGTTGCCGTCTAGTTGATTCTGACTCATAGTGACCCTGTGGGACAGAGTAGAACTGCCCCATAGGGTTTCCAAGGAATGGTTGGTGGATTCGAACTGCCGACCTTTTGGTTAGCAGCTGATCTCTTAACCATCGTTGCCACCAGGGCTCCTTAGCCATCCTAGTGGGAGTGAATGGTATCTCATTGTGGTTTTGATTTGCATCTCTCTGATGGCTAGTGACGCTGAGCATCTTTTCATGTGTTTGGTGGCCATTTGAATGTCCTCTTTGGTGAAATGTCTATTCGACTCCTTTGCCAATTTTGTGATTGGTTATTTGTCTTTTTGTTGTAAAGTTGTCGAAGTTTTATATACATTTTGGTTATTAGCTTCTTGTTGGATATGTGGTTTCCAAAGATACTCTCCTAGTCAATAGCTTGTCTTTTCACTTTTTTGGTAGATTCTTTTGATGAACAAAAGTTTTAAATTTTTATGAGGTTCCATTCATTTATCTTGTTGTTTGCTGTTTGTGCTTTTATTGTTGTTATTAGATAATCCATTGATAAAAGCTAGGCCTGACAGCATTGCCCCTGCCTTTTCTTCTAAGAATTTTATGGTTTTAGTTTGCATATTCAGGTCCTCAATCCGTTTTGAATTTGTTTTTGTGTATGATGGTGAGGCACGGATCCTGTTTCATTTTTCTGCATGTGGAAATTCAGTTTTCCCAGCAACACTTATTGAAGAGACTATTCTTTCCCCATTGAATGGACTTAGCACCCTTGTAAAAAATTAGTTGACCATAGATGTGTGGGTTTATTTCTGAACTCTCAATTCTATTCCATTGGTCTATGTGTCCGTTGTTATACCAGTACCAGGCTGTTTTGATTCCTGTAGCTGTGTAGTATGTTTTGAAATTGGGAAGTATGGGTCCTCCTTCTTTGTTCCTCTCTTTCAGTATTGCTTTAGCTATTAGGGGCCTCTTGCCATTCCATATGAAGTTGAATTAGTTTTTCCATTTCTGTAAAGAAGGCTGTTGGAATTTTGATCGAGACTGCACTGAATCTATAGATTGCTTTGGGTAGTATTGACATTTAACAATATTAGTCTTCCAATCCGTGAACATGGAATATATTTCAACATATTTAAATCTTCTTTAATCTCTTTCAGCAGTGTTTTATAGTTTTCATTGTATAAGTCCTTCATGTCCCTGGTTAAATTTATTCCTAGGTATTTTATTCTCTTAGATGCTATTGTAAATGGAATTGTTCCCGTAATTTCCCTTTCAGATTTCTCATTGCTAGTGTATAGGAACCCAACTGATTTTTTGTCTGTTGACCTTGTACCCTGCAACTTTCCTAAATTCCTCTGTTAGCTCTAGAAGTTTTCTTGTGGACTCTCTGAGATTTTCTATGTATAGGATCATATCATCCGTGAGTAGAGATAATTTTCCTTTTTTTTCCCAATCTGAATACCTTTTATTTCTTTCCTTGTCTTCTTGCTCTGGCTAGGACTTCTAATACAATATTGAATAGAAGTCGTGAGAGCAGGCACCCTTGTCTTGTTCCTGGTTTCAAAGGGAAAGCTCTCAGTCTTTCTCCATTGAGTATAATGTTGACTGTTGGCTTTTCGTATGTGCCCTGAATCACATTGAGGAATTTCCCTTCTATTCCAGTCTTCTTTAGGATTTTCATGAAGAAGGAGTGTTGGGGCCATTGGGGTTGGTGCCTCCTCAGAGCGCCCAAGTCCTGGCCCGCTGCTTTGCCATCTGCCACCGCTGCAGCTGCCCACCACCACCCCTCGGCCTGGCCAGTGCCCAGAGCAGTGGCGGGCCCAGGCCGTGAGCGTGGGAGGTGACAGGCTGGCGCCTGGGGCCCAGCCGCGGGGAGGCCTAAGCTGGCAGGTGCCTGGCCCGCACAGCCTGGCTGTTCATGAAGCATGTCAGCCACCAGCATGGATCCCCAGAGAACGAAAGGACGAGATAACAAAGTACAAAATGGTTTGTTGCATCAGAAGGATACTGTTCACGACAATGACTTTGACCCCTGCCTTTCTGGACTGTCAAGTCAGGCCTCACATTGAACATGAGTTGTGAGTGAAATGAAGATGGTGGGTTCAGTTTTCTCTCTGGAGGAAAAAATACCCTATGGGGGCCGGGGCACAAACAAAAGAGTAACAGCTACCCCTCAGTGACCGACCCCTATCTGTCCAGTTACTACCCGCCATCCATCAGGTTTCCTTACTCCCTCAATGAAACCCCGTCGTCGACCGGAGGGGACCCTCCCATTCCATACCTTTCTGCCTATGGACAGCTTGGCAAGAGAGACCACCGCTTCATGCACGATGCTGTTTTTGGGCAGCCTGGGGGCCTGGGGAACAACATCTATTAGCATAGGTTCAGTTCTTCCCTGAAAAACCGTGTCTTCTCAGCGTGGGGGACAATTGGGTCTCAAGGGCAGCAGACTCAGAGCTCAGCGTATGGAAACAGCTATACCTACCCACCTAGCTCCCTGGGCGACACGATTATGGATGGACAGACAAGTTTCCACAGCGACACGCTAAACAAGGCCCCCGGGATGAATAGCCTAGAGCAGGGCATGGTGGGTATGAAGCTTGGGGATGTGGCTGTGTCCACAGTCAAGACTATGGGGTCTGTCGTGAGCAGTGCTGTGATGACTGGCGTTTTCTCTGGCAACAGGGGAGCAAACGTAAACATGCCGGTTTCAAAACCCACCTCCTCGGCTGCCATCGCCAGCAATCAGGCAAAGCCACAGCCCAAGATGAAGGCCAAGAGCAGACCTTTGATGGGTGGTGTGATGCCACCCCCACCCTTCAAGCATAACATGGACATTGGCACCTGGGACAACAAGGGGCCTGTGACCAAGGCCCCAGCTCCCCAGCAGACCCCGTCCCCCTAGTCGGCCCCACAGCCACAGCAGATCGTCCAGCCTTTTCCAGCGTAGCTGCTGCCTCTGGCCCAGCCTCAGTACCAGAACACTCAGCGGCTACCCCAGACCCGCTGGGTAACCAACCCCGCAGAACAGGAATGCAGCATTTGGGCAGGGCACAGCGGCTGGCAGTGACAGTAACTCTCCCGGAAATGCCCAGCCCAACATGGCCCCAAGTGTAGAATCACACCCCGTTCTTGAGAAATTGAAAGCTGCCCACAGCTACAACACTAAAGAGTTTGACTGGAACATCAAGAGCAGATGTGTGTTCATCATCAAGAGTTACTCAGAGGATGACATCCCCTGCTCCATCAAGTACTCCATTTGGTGCAGCATGGAGCACGGCAACAAGCGCCTAGATGGCGCCTTCCGCTCCCTGGGCAGCAAGGGGCCCGTCTTCCTGCTCTTCAGTGTCAACAGGAGCGGGCACTTCTGTGGTGTGGCCGAAATGAAGTCGCTGGTGGAGTACAGCACCAGCACAGGGGTCTGGTCACAGGACAAGTCGAAGGGGAAGTTTGATGTCAAGTGGATTTTTGTCAAGGACGTGCCCAACAACCAGCCCTGGCACATCCTGCTGGAGAACAATGACAATAAGTCTGTCACAAACTCCCGCAACACCCAGGAGGTGCCCTTGGAGAAAGCAAAGCAAGTGCTGAAGATCATCGCTTCCTACAAGCACACCACCTCCATCTTTGACGACGTTTTCCATTGTGAGAAGCGCTAGGAGGAGGAGGAGGTGGTGCGCAAGGAATGGCAGAATCGAAACAATA